TGTGAGATGCCCAGTGATTACTAAAGTACACTCCTCCGTGTGTCTGAGACGGCCTTTCAGAGGGGACCAACTAAAGGGACTTGAATGACTTTGGGCGGGGGGGGGGGGGGGGAGGGAGTTATAGAAGAAACATAAACGAAGGGAAAGCTTACTAGAGTAGGCATTCTTTGTTGTTCTACCTCCTGGCTACCATGACATGAATTGTTTTTCTCCATCATGCTCCCCCACCCCCCCACATGGTGGACTGAAAGTTGGGCTGGACATTGAGTATCATAGCAGAAATGGGGGAAAACTGTGGATTCCGGTTAACCGAGATGCGAGGAACTATGGATTCTGGTTAACTGAAACATAAGGAATTGTGGATTCTTGTTAACTGAGATGTGTTGAGAGCAGAAATGAAGGAACCTGTGGATTCCAGTTAACTGAAACACTAGGGAACTATGGATTCTGGTTAACTGAGATGTGAGGGACCTATATTCTGGTTAACTGGGGTGTGTTATATCTAGATAGCTTGGGGAGTTTATTTCTTACCTGTTTACCTGACAGGGCTTTGTAGGATTGTTTGTGTTGTCATCTTGCCAGAATCTAGAGTCACTTAGGGGACAGGTCCCCAGGGATACCTGTAGGAGTTACCTAGATAGGTTGGGCTCTGGACAAGCTTGTGGGGAATGATTGTGGTTAGTTGATGTGAGAAGAATCATCTGAATTGTGGGCTGGATCCTTCCCTGGGCAGGGATTCTAGACGATGTAAAATGGAGAACGTGAGCTGACCTAACAAGCTTGTAAGCATGCGTTCATCCCCTCTTCCTCCCGTGGATGCAATGTGGGCAGCAACTTCAAGTCCCTGCCCCACCCCACCCGTGATGGACTGTGCTTTGGACAGTGAGCTAAAGTAAACCACCATCGTCTTTTTCTTCTACCTTTTCTTCTTCTTCACCATGTATGTCTATTTTATGTGCCTGTACTCATGCCTGTGCCTGGGGCCTACAGAGACCAGGAGACAGTGTCAGATCTCCTGTAGCTGGAGTTACAAATGGTTGACAGTTGACATGTGTGTGACGGGAGCCCAGCCTGGGGCCTCTGCAGCAATAGCAATGGTCTGACTGCTGAGTGTCACTCTAGCCCTGCCCGTCTCTGTAGACGATGCTTTTTATCACGGCAACGAGAGGAGACAAAAAGACACCGAGGAGGTGACCAGAACTTTCCAGCAAGATCAGCAGGAAGGGGGACAGAAGGACGCGAGTGCAGGAATTCTTTCTGCTGTGTCAATTGTCACTTATTTCTGCACGAGGTTTTGGCAGAGCCATTTCAGTCACAGGGTTCAACTCAGGTGTCTGAGGGCTTGGTGAATTGGTATTAGGCAGAGGGGTCTTCCACACTTGCCTAGCAGAGCACACCCACACCTTGCTATCTGTCTTAGGGTTTCCCTCGATGGGAATAGACATGCCATGACCACAGCCTGCTTGTCATGAACCCCATTTGGGGGTTCAACCCAGGGGTTGAACTAAGGTAGGCAGTCAACATTGGCCTTGAGTCCCCTTAATAGGCTGAGCCAGCTCAGTGATCCCAGATCTGCATGAATTCTTATAGGAAGCTTTAAAATGATTTGCTTACATGTTCTCTTGTGTTCTGAATGGGTCTCTGAGAGGCTTTGTCGCCACCAGGAGATGGTGTGTCCCGGAGGCCACAGATTTCTCTTAGCAGAAGAAACAGCTGCTGACAGACAAAAAAAAAAAAAAAAAAAGCAACAGTGTTTTAATTTTAAGGAGGGTTCCTTGGGCAGAGCTAAGGGCTTGTTTGGAAAAGAAAACATATTCAATAATGGAGGGGTCTGCGGTGTAATGCTGGAGCAAATGGGATTATGGTTGGTTGGAATGAATTCAAGAGCTTTTGTGTGTCCCCTATTGGCAGTGATTTTCCTTCCGTTCCTTCTTTTCTTTCTACTTTTGTCCATGGGATAATAAGACAGCTAGGCACCGTAGTAGCGAGACTGGCTCGAGACACTACCCACAGGTCAGATAATTGGGCACACCGTGTACTGAATTATGAGTGAGCTTATCTTTGCACTTTATGGCACTGAACTTCAAAGCTCTCCTTTATTCTGAAAAGACTCTGAGCCACCAAAAGCCTATTTCATTCATTATCATAATAGTATCAGTAGCGGAACCGAATCATATGTAGTTGGCTCTCTAAAATTAATATAAAATTGCTTCGCGGGCTAGCTGGGTGGTACCTAATGGCTTCAATTGTCCTCGTGGGAGGACAAGTGGATGGGGCCTTAATCTTGCCAGTGTGGATAGAGTGGAAAAAAAAAAAAAGATTAAAGTGAAGATTGTTTAATACTACAGGTAAAACTGAGGGATTAATAATAAAGGACTGCAGGAGGGCTTGGCTGAAAGAACCCTCCGGAAATGTCACCTCTCATCTGTGTTCCAGTCTGTGCTGTACTGTCATCTCTTAGTCCTTGTAGTCTTCACGGATAGACTGCACAGCAGGGTTAGTGTGTTTTTAGCTATGCGTGTCCCTTAGAGAAAGGGGAGGGAGGACACCATGGAAGAAAGGTCCTCTAGACCAACATGGTCAGAGCTCACATGAGCGGGGAGAGACCGCGGTAGCATGCCCAGGGCCCACACAGGTCTGTGTCGGGTCCTTCGGGAGTATATTTTGGCTTCCGGTTTAGTATTTTTGTGGGATTCCTGAGTGTGTGAACTAGTGGGTGGGTCTTCAATTCTTGTGCCTTTGCTTGGGCCGGCCCTTTTCCTTCTGTTTGTCTGGTCCGACTCCAATGTGTTAGTTTTTGTTGTTGTTGTTGTTTTTAATCTTACTGTGTTTTATTTTGTTATCTTTTACTATTATCCCTTAGAAGCCTATTGGTTTTCTAATGAGAGACAGAAAGGGAGTGAGGGGGAGGGGTAGAGGGAAGAGAATTGTAACCAGGGTATATTGCGAGAAAAATATATTTTCAATAAAAGGAAAAAATTATATAGAGAACATGCAGTCTGATGATGAAAGTAGTACACAGTCCTTGGGCAGGACCCATGAAGTATGGGAAGATGAAAAGAACCAGTGTTTCATTTAATTATACAAATGATGTAAAACTAAGCCATTGCATTCTTATCCCGTGCTCAACACTGGAGTCCCTCCTGGAGGTCGTCTTTAATATGAGGCATGTGTGTTTTGTTCACCTCAATTTGGCTTAGATGTACTTACAGGAAATGCACATAGCAGTATTTTTTCCTCTTCCTTTTGTGTTTTGAACACAAGCTTCAGGTCGTGTGGTGCTATACATTCTTGGTTTTGTTCAGTGATGTCTCTTGGAGACAATATAATGCTCTGACATACAGATCTGTCTCTTATTTCCCATTTTTGGTGGGTTCTACAGTTCAGGAAGACCTTTGTTTAAAAGCTGTTATGTGAACAGAAGTTTACATTGCTTTAATAACCTCTCCCCTTTTGTTCTTGTTATAAATCACACAATAATCATCATCTTTATGGATGTCTCTGCACATGTGTGAATGGTTTTTAAGGGGAAATAGCTGGAGAGTTGAGCTGTTGGGTCAGACCGTGTTTATTTGCTTTGGTAGAGAAGAGATTAACACCAAGGCTTTGCCCATGCTTGGCAAGTTATCTACATGGAACGCTTTGCACCCACAGCCCCGTTTTAACTAAAAGACATCCCTGTCCACCCACGAACACTTGAAGATGTTAGTACTTTGGTACAGATCTGCTTTACATGAGGACCTGTTGAGATGAAGCGCAATTCCTGAACTGCTTCCTTTAGCTCTTTGCATTATATTTAATGGACACATTGCATTTTTATTAGAAGGATAGATAAAACAATGCCATGATTACAGCACTTCTTAAGTGAGATAATTGTATCACATCCTAAGTGAGCTGTGTTTTGTTGCTGAAAGAGATCATAGCCACTGGAGAACTTATTTTCCTAATAAAATTTTTATTAAATGGTGGGCTGTGTACACTACGGATGAAACCTCTCCTGAGTACCTTCAGCCTCTCATGGCCTCATGGGGGAGGTGCAGCTGTGGTGGCGAGGGTCAGTGGTTCCTTCTGAATCCTGAATGAGGCTGGTAGGATGTGACCCTGCCCTAAGAGCTTCCGTTCATCCACCTCTGCTTTCCCCCCAGGAGTATTTAGGCACCTTGGTTGTGTTGTGACTGCAAACACTGGCTGTCACTAAGGCTCCTGGAGGTTTTGTTTGGTATCCTGTGGATCGCCGCACACAGGTCATGGCAACGTTTGTTGTCCAGTTCAGGGCTGCTGGGTGACTTGTGTGTGCATGAATGGGTCAAGTACCGGTGGTTGGTGATTGAGTAGTCTCTTCCTCCTCCTTTTTCTTCTGCTCTTCCTCCTCCTCTTTTTCTTTCTCCTCTTTTGAGATAGGATCTCATGTGGCCTAGGCTGGCCTTCAAGCTGCTAAGTGGTCAATGTTATTCTTAAAGTCCTGATCTTATTGCCTCCAACTCCCAAGTGCTAGGATGCCTGGCTATCTACCCTCCTCTCCTTCCCTCCCTCCTTCCTTTCCTCCTTTCTCTCTTTCATTGGAGAGTCAACCCAAAGCATCATTCGTGGGCCCAACTACTGAGCAGCCACATCATTTTTTCTCATATAATAATGTAAGACCTATTTTTCTTGTAAGATGTAGGGGTTTTCTATGTTGTACAGGTTGCCCTCACACCCTTGATCCTCCTGCCTCAGCATCTTGAGTGCTAGGATTACAGGTGTTGGCTATGGTACCCAGCTCCAAAGACCAATTCTTCACTGCCTTCTCTCTCCATCATGGACTCATGCATCATTATCTCTTGGGCTGCCTCTTGCTTCCTTTTCAACTTTGAGAACAAGACACAGCACATTCTCGCTAACATTTCCTATGCGTTTGAAATACAACGGAAACTCCCATCTGAGATATCTTAGTGAAACCTCAGATGACAGACTGTTTAACACTCCTTTTAATGCTTTGTCTTTTGGGGAAACTCCACCAGGAAACTGCCAGTCATCCCATGGACTTCCCAGTCACCCGGGAACAGCTGAACCATTACCGGAATGTGGCTGAAAATGTTCAAAGTGAACTTGCAGCAACTTTGGTCAAATTTGAATGTGCTCAGTCTGAGGTGAGACACTGTACACATTCCATCACTCAGAAGGGCATTCTAGCCTCTTATGGAGGGAAACAGATGGCTGAGGATTAGAAACAGGATAGTAAGCAAGGGATTTCAACCTATTGACAAAGTCTAGACTTAATTTCCTACTCCATCCAGGCTTTCAGATTTCAATGAAGTCTGTATAACCTGGGGACTTTAGGTTAAAGTTGCATGGGCCTTGGGGAACTTGAAGCCTCCTTCAGAATGTCTTTCTTTAATATGGACTGTTTGTATTCCAGAGCTCTTAGGATCTCTGAATTCTCTTCATGTGGCAATTCTGATTGGGCAGATTCTAAGACCGACTGGTCTAATGAAGTTCCCAAGTCTCTCTGGACTCATTCTCCTCCTAGTATTGTGGCTGTGAGGGGTCTAGACTGGCCTGGGAGGGAGCTAGCAGTCGGTGAAGGATGCCAGGGGCCAAATGAGAGACGAACTTATAAACATGTGTGTGACTCTGCATGCATGCACATTCCCAGTTCCAAAGAGCCACATATGTGTGAAGATGGTCCCACAGAAGGGACAAGACATTCTTGGTCAGTAGGATGCAAACACCCTCCAGCATTTTGATGCTTCAGAACCCACAGAAGTCCAAAAGTTCCCTTTGTGTAATTTCCCTTTGTGACCATATTTCCCCCAGGAATCTGAGTATTATTTTTCTTTACCACCTACAGTTATGGTCTAGAAGGCAAATGGGAGAAATACAGTGATGTCCTGAACATCTGGATTTAATTGAGAAACAGTTGTGGCTGTGAAATCGCAGTGTAGCTTGGAGGTTCCCTAATCATTGTCACTCAGCAATAAATGCAGCAGTACCGACAGAGAAAATGGGTTCCCACTGTGAAATATTTTATTGCTTTCTGTAATATTCACCACAAATGTTGGGTTCCCACTGTGAAATATTTTTTTGCTTTCTGTAAATATCTACCACAAATGCTGCCTAAATAGTATGAAATCAACTTAAGACATTGCTCATTTATTTTATTTTATTTTTTATGTTTTCTTGTCTGTGTGCTGGACATTGAATTCAAGGTCTCTCACACACGATACAATTAATGACTCTTCCATGAGGGTTTCACACCAGCCTTCAACTGCTTTTTAAAAAAGGTATGACTATGAATGACTATTAGTCAGGAATTTATCCAACCATAATTTCCAATTTGCTAACACAGATCCAAATTCAAGAAAGAGAAAATGAAATTGGACTCGGTCATGAATGAAAGGTTAAATTGTAAATTATGATTTCGGCTCTTTGTGTAGGTACTTCCAATGGCACATTGTTAAATCCCTATGTCCCCCCTCCCCCATCTCTTCACATTAGCTTCGAGACCTCCGCTCCAAGCTTCTCTCTAAAGAAGTGTGCTGCCAAGAGCTGAAGGCTGAAGTGGAGGGCTACAAAGAAAACACTGCCAGGAAGTCATCTCTCCTTGTCTCTCTGAGGGGCAGAGTACAGGAACTCCAAGAGGAATCGGCAGCACTTTCTGCTTCGAAAATCAGAACAGAGACCTCTGCTCACACCACGATGAAGGAGAACCAGGAACTAATGAAGAAAGTCCTGGAACTGGATGAGAAATTGCGGTAAGAAAGTGGGCAGTGTTTCCCCGTTTGTTAGTGGCCATACTAGGTTCAGATCTCAGCCTTCTTCTTCTTCTTCTTCTTCTTCTTCTTCTTCTTCTTCTTCCTCCTCCTCCTCCTCCTCCTCCTCCTCCTCCTTCTTCTGCTCCTCCTCCTCCTTTTGGTAGGACTATTAAAATTTTATGAATGCTTTTTGAGATCTTATTGTCCTGTCTAAACTGTGGTGTTCTTTTAACTATTCATGGCTTATGCGATTTATTCTCTCTCTCTTTTTTTTAATTTAAATTTGAAACAATCCCAGTTCCTGCACCCTCCTGTCCTCCCTTGTTCCCCTCACCAATCCCCATCCCATCCCCTTTCTGCTCCCCAGGGAAGGTGAGGCCTTCCATGGGGAGTCTTCCAAGTCTGTCATATCATTTGGAATAGGGTCCAAGGCCTCCCCCATGTGTCTAGGCTGAGACAGTATCTCTCTTTGTGGGATGGACTCCCAAAGTCCATTCATATGCTAAGGGCATCATTCCTCCCTGTCTGCAACTGGATTCCAAGCATGTTTAGCTGTGGGTGTCTGCTTCTGCTTTTATCAGTTACTAGATGAAGGCTCTAGGATGGCATATAAGTTAGTCATCAAACTCATTATCGGGGAAGGGCATTTAAGGCAACCTCTCCACTATTGCTTAGATTGTTCGTTGGGGTCATCCTTGTGGATCTCTGGGCTTTTCCCTAGTGCCAGATTTCTCTTAAAACCTATAATGGCTCCATCTAATATGGTATCTCTTTTCTTGCTCTCCTCTATTCTTTCCCTGACTCAATCTTCCTGCTCCATCATGCCACCTCTTCCCATCTCTTTCTCCCAACTCCATCTCCCCTCACTGCCTGCTCCCAATTTGCTCAGGAGATCTTCTCCGGGGACCACGTATGTCTCTCTTAGGGTCCTCCTTATTACCTAGCTTTTCTGGCTGTGTAGATTGGAGGCTGGTAATCCCTTGCTCTATGTCTAAAAATCATGTATAAGTGAGTACATACCATGTTTGTCTTTTTGTGACTGGGTTACCTCACTCAGGATGGTTTCTTCTAGTTCCATCCACTTGCCTACGAATTTCAAGATTCCATTGTTTTTTCCCTCTGAGTAGTATTCCATCGTGTAAATGTACCACATTTTCTTTATTCATTCTTCAGCTGAGGGGCATCTAGGTTGCTTCCAGGTTCTGGCTATTACAAATAATGCAGCTTTGAACATAGTTGAATAGATGTCCTTGTTGTATGAATGTGCATCTTATGGGTATATGCCTAAGAGTGGAATTACTGGGTCTTGAGGTAGACTGATTCCCATTTTCCTGAGGAACCACCATACTGATCTCCAAAGTGGCTGTGAGGAGTTTGCATTCCCACCAGCAGTGGAAGAGTGTACCCCTTTCTCCACATCCTCTCCAGCATAAACTGCTGTTGGAGTTTTTGATTTTAGCCACTGACAGGAGTAAGATGGTATCTCTTAGTTGTTTTGATTTGCGTTTCCCTGATGACTAAGGATGTTGGGCACTTTCTTAAGTGTCTTTCAGCCATTTTAAATTCATCTATTGAGAATTCTCTATTCAGTTCTGTACCCCACTTTTTAATTGGATTATTTGGTGTTTTGGTAACTAGCTTCTTGAGTTCTTTGTATATTTTGGAAATCAGACCTCTGTCAGAAATGGGGTTGGTGAATATATTTTCCCATTCTGCGGGCTGCCATTTTGTCTTGACTGTGTCCTTTGCTTTACAGAAGCTTTTCCATTTCAGGAGGTCCCATTATATTAATTGTTGATCTCAGCGTCTGTGCTACTGGTGTTACGTTCAGGAAGTGGTCTCCTGTACCAATTATTTCAAAGGTACCTCCACTTTCTCTTCTAAGAGGTTCAGTGTGGCTGGATTTATGTGGAGGTCAGCCTACTTCTTGAATGAGCTTTGAATGTTATACATTATTTTTCCTTGAAACTCAAACTGAAAAAAATTACAGACCTCAGGTTTCTTTGTAGTCTTGGAGACTTTGCTCAAGTTCAAATGGTGTCAAGTGTTTCAACATTGTGTTATGTATGCTTAGGAGCTATTGATGAGAGCTGCCAAAGCTTATTACATGTGTGGTGTGCGATTTCCCTTAAGTAGAAGCTTAACTATGGGAGTGACAGGGAAGCCCACAGGAGTGTATTTAGAGGACAGGTAAAACATGCAAGGAAGCATGCAAGGAAGCCAGACATCCTCAATTCAGTTTTATTAGCATTTTATACAGAGAACTCAAGACACTCAGGATATTCACACTTTGTTCAGCCAAGAGGTCACTGTTAAAACAAAATTGGGAAATGCTTTCTTCTAAAATATATTTTAAAATTCTATGTATGACTTTTTTTTAAAGACATGTAGTCCTGGCTGTCCTGGAACTGTAGACCAGGCTAGCCTCAGGCTCACAGAGATCTGCCTACCTTCACCTCTCAAGTGTTAGGATTATATTAACATGTTTTGGGGACATGGTATTGTAAGTAGCATTGAAGGTGAGATTGTTCTGCCTCTGCCTACTGAGTGCTAGGATTACAGTCATGCTGTACCATACCAGCTTTAAATATCACTCACTGTGTTCCATCTTTAAGATGGACAGTGCTCCCAGTCCTTTTCCAGTCCTTTTCTCCTCCACCCATTATCAAACTTCCTTTGTTGTTTATTTGCTTGATTTTAAGATAGGCTCTCCCTGTGTAGCCCAGGCTGGTGTTGAATTCACAATCCTCCTTCCTTTTCTTCCCAAGAGCTTGGATTACAGGGGTTCTTAAATGTTTTTAAGAACCCAAATCTCTTGTTTATCTCTTTTCTCTTTTATCTGCCCCACTGAAATTCCTTGCTATGACCGCCAGTGTTGACTCAGGGCTGGTTGGCCTCTGAAGCATCAGTTACGGCTGGTCTGTGAACTACTTTCTTCTCTTGGCTTCTAGAACATTACACACAACTAGTTTATCTTTTACATTTCTCTTTTTGTGTTTTTCTTCCCCTTGGCTTCCAAATATTGGGGTGACTTTCTTCTTATTTCTGTGTTATTTAACCCCCTGTCTTCTAAGTATGATCTAGATGCGGGTGATACTGCAAGTCTGTGTCTAGCTTGAATCTCCTTTCAACACAAGGAACACAAACCTTCATCTTGATGCCCAGCAGACATTTCAACTTTATGTGTCTGAAAATGGGATCTAAGGTTCCCACCATATCTTTCTGTACTCGTTTGATGTGGTGATAATTTCATTCTTCTAGTCATCAGGTAAAACATTGCCTGTCATCCACGGCTCTCTTTTTCTTTCGTATTCTTCTTTACTTAGAAAATGCATTCACAACTGTCTTAAAATAAAACTAAATATTAACTATTTCACATTTGTTACCCCAGTAACACCGTCCTCCCTCACCCGGACTTATTGCAACAAGTATGTACAGCCTCAGCACCCCACTCCTGGTACAAGTTTATTCTTTGAGTAATTTAGGATGATATTATAGTATCACATGGCTTAGCCATCAGAAATTTACTACTCATAGTTCTGAACGCTGGGAAGTTCAAGATTGAGGTGCTGGCTGCTTCATTTTATGGTAAGGGCCAACTTCTTATTTGAGGGTGAATTTCTTTTTTTTCCCTCCCATGGCAGAGAAAGAGAGAGATAGCTTCTTTCTCGTTTCCTCCCCAAATATACTGATCCTCTTCATAGGGATTCATATTCATTACTTAATAATTGTCTCCTGGAAGCCTCAAGTATACATGCTGTCTCAATGGAGGCACGCAGGGCACGTAAGCATCCAGTTCTTCTGTCAGTGCGCAGCCCCAGCCAGAGTGAGCCTGTTGAAGTAGCATGAGACCATGTCAGTCCTCAACTAGGACTTCTCCAGTGACTCCTCTTCTTACCTAGGGCAAAGGCCTATTGTCTTTACAACCTAAAAGGCTCACACTCCCCTGCTGATGCTGCCCTTCTCTCCCCTATTCTTTTGGATCTAGACCACTGGCTTCTTTGCTGCCTTTTGAACTGGACAGACATGATCCTACCTCATCCGTTTGCAACTGCTCATCCCTTTGTCTTCACGGCTCTCCTGTAGATAGTGTGGCTACGTTTGATCTAGGCACTCACTTGGCAGGACCTGTGCAATGGGTCCTTCCATGAGTGCTGTCTAAAATCTTCTTACTCCCTTTTCCCTTTGGTCATTCCATGATCTCATGTGGCGTAGGCTGGCCTTCAAGCTGCTAAGTGGTCAATGTTAATCTTAAAGTCCTGATCTTATTGCCTCCAACTCCCAAATGCTACGATGCCTGGCTATCTACCCTCCTCTCCTTCCCTCCCTCCTTCCTTTCCTCCTTTCTCTCTTTCATTACTTTACACGGATTAATATTTTGATCAGTCTTTCCAACTGGAACATGAACTCCACAGGGCAAAGGATTTTTTTCTATTTTGCTTACATCTGCATCTTTCACATCTTGTTAGGATCCAGAGCAGTTATGGTCATTTATTTTCTACTATAATATAAACGCATAATACAAATATCATATACTTATTGTAAAAACACCCTTTCAATGCAGACATTCTCAAGAAGAAATTGAAATTTCTCAAAATCTTTTCTTATGGGAAATCTTAAATAACATTTTTTGAATAGACAGATCATTTTGCCCGAATTGCACTATATAATATAGACTTTTACTGACTAATACATTGTTGATGTTTTAAAATGTTATTTAATTCATCGTCTTTTTGTTTGTTTGTTTTGTTTTTTGTTTTTTCGAGACTGTCCTGGAACTTTCAGCCTTGAACTCATAGAGATCCATCTGCCTCCGCCTCCCAAGTGCTGGGATTAAAGGTGTGCGCCACCCATTGCCCGGCCTAGTTCATCATCTTCATGGCTTTTTATATTCCACTTCTAAAATAGCTTGATGGGGATCTGGAGAGATGACTCAGTAGTTAGGACCACTTCCAGCTCTTTCAGGGAAGCAGGTTTGGTTCCCAGCACCCACATGGCAGCTCACAATTGTCTGTTTATAACTTCAGTTCCGGAGGATCCAGTGCCCTCTTCTGAAATTGATGGGTACCAGACACACATGTGGCACAATATACATACAAGCAGGGAAACACCCATGCACATAAAATATAAATGAATAAATGTTAAAAACTCTATTTACTCAAAACTAGTTACTCAGATTAGTTTCATTAAAAAGTTCACTATAAAACGATCTGAACATGACATCTGTGGACACTCTTATTTATACATTTTATGTGATTATTTCCTTAGCATAGATTCTTGGAACTTGGTTGGGTCAGTTAAGAAGCAAATAGCTATGGACATAGTTTAATGACCTTTGCAATAGAGCTGTGATGTTGAAATCTTGTGTCCAGTGTGTGGGGTCACGTAGGCAGATCTGTCAGAGCCATGACAGGCATTGTGCTTTTCATACGTGCAGAAACTACAGATAGACCAACACTAGTCATTTATTAATGCAGTTTCCTAAATGGAAATATGATATGCTTTTGAGTACATGCAATTACGTGCTTTGTTAATCTTTGAATAGAGTCAAAAATTTTGCAGTAAACACCTAACATGGGAAAAAGAAAGCAATAATCATGATTATTGTCTAGAATACTGAAAAATGACACCAAATTGCTGAGATGATTCTAATTTGCCTTAAAAGTATGTCTGTTTTTTGATGACATTACTGAACATGTGAAGTATCGGGGATTCACTGGGCTGTTTCAACAAACCTGTTGGAGACCAAATACCTGACATTTCCTTGACTTGTCACTGTCTATACATTGCCAATATGCTAAAGATTCTCTCTGCATGGCTGCTTGTATTGTTCCTTTCTGAATATTTCTTCTGCTTTAGATAGTATCTTTGTATGTATGTATGTATGTGTATGTGTCTATCAGTTTCACTTGGCTGTGAACCGTATCGATCACCACATAATGTCCAAAGAGAAGATGAAATTTGGTTTCCTAGCATCCCCACAGTGCCATTCTCCTCCCCTTGGAGGCCCCACGAGAGGCTCCATGGCTTGTGGATTGTGACCACACACATGGCAGAGAGTCTGTGTGTGAACTAGTGCTTGCCTTCATGTCTGCCATAGTGTTAACTCTTGATTTATTTGCTTTTTGTTTGTTTGGTTGTTTTTTGATAGGAACTGCTTAAAGGAAAATGAGGAGTCTAAGAAACTAGGCTTAGAGAATCTCCGGAGACATGAGGAATTTCGGACTGAGCTTTGTGACTGCTGGAGTCTAGACAAGAAGCACGAGGGAGCATCTGATGAAGATTTGATTTTAAAGGTATTTGCATGCAGGGTAAAGGCACTATACACACAGGGTCATGTAGGCAGAGGGCTCCTGTCCTGCAGACACTCAAACAATCACTCAGAGGCTTACTATATAATTACAAATGCTCGGCCAATAGCTCAGGCTGATTACTAACTAGCTCTTGAGTTTTAAGTTAATCCATGTCCCTTATTTACACTCTGCCACGTGGTGGCACCTTTATTAGCATGGCACATTCATCTGCTCCCTCTGTGACTGCTGGGGGACTTCCCAACTCTGCCCTTCCTCTTCCCAGCATTCTCTCTGTGTCAGGCGGCTCTCTCACCCATTCCCTGCCCGCCCAGCTATTGGCCAATCAGCCTTTTATTAATAATGACAGCAGTACACGTTTACAGTGTACAAAGATTGCTCCATAGCAGGGTTGGTCTGGCGTGACAGGAAAGGGAAGTGCGTTGGTTGTCTCTAGGGGTGGCGGGAGTCTGGGACAGTAGTCCAAAGGAAGCATTAATTAACGGTGTAGGCCAGGATAGACCACATCACCCCTTTTAGCTTCAACCCTAGAATCCTCACTAGTACTGTTTGAGATTAGGGGCTAATTACTTTGTCTAAAATGCATTTAGACATTCAAATGTAATTAACTATCGCAATGATACGTTTCTGCATGAAGCTTTTCGTTCAGTTACAAACACACACACACACACACACACACACACACACACACACGCAAAATCAGATATACAAAACATTAATGTCTTAATTTTCATTAACACCTTTAAATGAAGACATGCAGCATTAGATTTCATCGTGCATTTGCAAATTAAGTGTTTTCTTGTGGCCTCCCTTCTGTTTCTCCCCAGGTTCCCATCCTATCTTGTATCCTTCAAACATGAGAACAGGGCTAGATACACGTGGCACAAAGTGGAAGGATGTGGGCTTAGGCTGTAATTTTGTTACTGCCCAGGCTGCTGCCCCCTTTGCAGTGTACTTAATAAAACATTCCCCCCCCCCCCCGACTCTGTCATTTTGGGCGGATGCAGTGAGTAAAAAGCTGGACATAGTTCTAAAGTACTTTTACCTTTTACACTAGAACTAGTAAAATCTTACCCTGCGGCACATTGCTATTAAAGGCAGGGATTAGTAATTCTAATGCAGCACTTGCCTTGATACATAGTGATTCACTCAGGTGTCTGTTCATTCATAAACGTTTTTGTGTCCTTGTGTCCTGACAGACAAGTCATACGGCCACTCTTAAAAGTTACCTCCCAGTTGTCCACGAGTCAGCTCCCACAGTGTCCTCTGCGAGTGGATTCACTCTGATTTAGTCAGGGACTCTCATGGGTGTCAGATGCTCCCACTCCTCCTAGTTAATATAGGACTAGGAGATCACTTGCAGGAGTCTACTTTTTGGTGTGGTTTGGGACTCATTTGCTTCAGAAGCCGGGTGGCGGGCAGAGCAACAGGGTGCTTAGAAATTCCACCTTTGGGAATGAATCCCTTCCCTCCACTACTGACGACCTCACTGTATACCAGCAGGATGTCTGCTAATCGCGCCACTTTGTTTGCTATATTCCCAACGCTTTGCCCCTTACCTACCAGGAGAGCCCATTCCTCCTGAAATCAGCCAGCTTGTGCAAATGGTGGATGATTCCCGTGGGCGGCAGAGTCCACTCCTCCGCCATCTCCTAGACCTTCCGCTCTTGGCCACTGTCCTGCTGTCCTGCTGCTCTGCTCATCTCACAGCTAGGTATCAGACGGCTCTGAAGAACAACACACACACACACACATGCACACACACACACACACACGCACACACACACATACACACGCACACACACACGCACACACATGCACACACACACGCACACACACGCACACACACACACACACGCACACACACACCAGTCCTAGAGTATTCATTCTAGCCAGTCCTAAATCACATTACTCCGTTTTACCCATTGCTTTCCCCAGAAGCCACAAGGGAGTCACGTGTTCATAGTTCCTTGCCCCCTTCCTTCTCAGTGGCCCCAGGGATTCTCCAAGTGACCCTTGCAACAAGGATGTATATAATGAGTACTCTTTTAGTTTTCAAAACATTTAATTTTGTGTGTGTGTGTGTGTGTGTGTGTACATGTATGTGGGGGTATGTGCTCATGTGCTTGGAGTCCAGAAGAAGGCGTCGGATGCTCTGGAGCTGGAGTTATAGGTAATTATGAGCTGTTTGATTTGGGTTCTGAGATCCAAACTTGGGTCCTCTGGGAGATCAGTACTACTGATCCATTTCTCCACTATCTCCCATACTTAGGCAGGGTCTCAGTATGTCTCCCTGGATGGCCCCGAGCTCTCTGTATAAATAAGATGGCCTTGAACTCAAAGAGATCCATCTACTTCTGCCTTCTGTGTTCTGGGATTTAAGATGCATCAATACACCTGGCTAGGAAGCATTCTTAATAATTTCCTCGATATTCATGCATACACTTCGCCAGTGTTTGCTGAGTGTACAGTACATGCTGGGCACTGTTCTGGGGATGTGGCAGTGAATGACACCAGACTAATTAATTCTACGCCCTTGGGGAAACACCCTTCTTTCATTGTTATGGGGTTGAGATGGTACCAAGGTGAGCAACTGTATCGCCACCCTATCCGGAGAAAGGTTCTTCGAAGAAAATCACCTTGTGATGCAGGGTTAGGGAATAAAGGATGCCAGAGGTTTGGGAAGCTGGCTTAGGCAGCCTGGGGCCACTCCGGGGGTTTGACGTAGATGGATGCTGGGAAGTGAGTGCGGGGAACGTGAGGAAGTGTTCAAGAGCGAGGGACAGAATTGAGTCGTGAAATGGTACCAAGTGCAGGGACTGAGATGTGTCACTTCCATCGGTGATCAAAACACAGGCACTGACCATACTGTCTGGGGTTTCAAGTCCCGTTACAGGCATTGTCGTGGCCCTGCAGAGTGAGCTTATCTGTATGGCTAGTGAGGCTTGCAAATGCTTCCAGGGAACTTTTCTCAATGCACAGCACGGAAAGCAGAAAGCCCTGTGAACGCTAACCCCCCCATGGCAACCGTTTTTATCACGCTTCATAGGATGCTCCCAGTTACTTAGGAAGCTATTCACAGACACAACTGCTCTGCCTTCTTTGCAGGGCCCACCCCATCCCCACCGCAAGCCAGCACCTTGCACACAGTAGGTGCAATTGGATGTGGGCTGAGGATGTGGGCTGAGGATGGCTCTCTTGGTCACTGACCTTTGCCATCCCCCTAGCCTAGCCTTCACTCAATCTACACTTACTCACCTCCCATCATCCTTGCCTTGTGGCCTCCTTTGAATAATTTTAATTTGACCACTGGGTCTGCAAACAGTGGCGTTTAGAGGCTGCCTTCGAAAATGTGACTCTTTGTGTCTGCTGTTTTCAAAGTTTTGTCAGTTCACAACCTCATTAGGCTATAGGTTGTGAATTGCTTGGAGAAAGTGGGCGGAACTGTCTGTGTATTTTTCCTTTATAAAAGCACAGCGTTAATTTCTTTCTCTTCAGCTTAGAGAGCTGTGCAAAGAATACACATTCCTGAAAGGACAAATCATGACTCTTGAAGAGACTATAAATGTCCATGAGATGGAGGCAAAAGCTAACAGAGAAACGATCTCAAGGCTGGCGGCGGAAGTCAGCAGGGAGCAGAAAAGAGCTGCCTCCTGGGCCATGGAGAAAGACAAGCTGAATCAGGTACAGTGTGCTGGAGGTGCCTCTGTGCCGGGCTCACAGAGCAGACATGGGGGCATAGATGTCTGTGAGCGCCCTGAATCTATGGGCTACTGTTCCAAAGGGCTGCTCTTTGCAGGAGGGGTGGAGGCATTGTGGGGATAAGTGATTCCCGTAGGATGTTTGATATTTGATATATCCTTTTTATACATACTAGCTACGTATTTCTAATTGCAAAAAAAAAAAAAAAAAAAAAAAAAAAATACAGAGTGCTTTAAGGGATTTGTAGGCTGGATGGCTTGCTATGATTAGATAATAATGATGGTTTTCATATTCAAGTCTTAGATTTTTGAGCAAATAGGCAATGCGTTTAAAAGACACAAAGTTCTAATTGTACAAAAGATATTAAATGATGATCCCTCCCTCTCCTCTCTCTTCCTAGGCAGCCACTTATCCTCCTGGGGAAACTTCTTATAATTCCTTTATTTATTTAATTAATTGTGTGTGTGCCTGTGTGTGCTCAGGTGGGGGGGTCACAGAGGTTGATGATGGGGTTAACAATGGGTGTCTTGCTTTATCTCTCCCCACTTTATTTTTTCTTTTCTTTTAATACATGAGTCTTTTTTGGCCAGTTACTTGAAGGAGAGGAGTTAATGGCACCGATGCCAGGCTGGCCGAGCTTCACAGACTTGTAGGTAATAGAGAAGTCGTCCAGATAGCGGCCCATCATCTCTGGCTTGATCTCCACCTGGTTGAAGGTCTTGCCGTTGTACACGCCCACCATACTGCCTACCGTCTCGGGCAGGGTGATCATGTCCCTCAGGTGGGTCTTCACCATCTCTGGCTTCTCCATGGGCGGCGCCTCCTCCTTGGCCTTTTTCAGGCGCTTGAGTAAGGAGTGCTGCTCCCGCAGCCGCAGGTCACGGTTCAGGTGTCGCCTCTGTCCAGCTGCATCAGTGGCTCACAGGACACGCCCAGCAGTGGTCCAAGCCCACTCCGCGGTAGGTGAACTTGCAGAAGGTCCGTTTCTTCTTCTACTCCACTTCAGCCATTTTGGTGGCTTCTAGGAAAAGGAAGCGTTGGCTGAGTCTGCCCCCACCTTATTTTTTTGAAACAGGGTTTCCCGCTGAAACAGGAGCTCACAAACTGGTCAAACTGGGTGGCCAGAAGGCTCTCAGAATCCTGTCTTCACTTTTGGGATTATGGTGGTGTGTGCTCTCCCTCTGTCTTCCCCCCCTTTCTCTTTCCCCCTCTCCTCCCCCCCTCCACACCTGGCTTCTTGCACAGATGTTGGGGATCCAGATGTAAATCCTCTTGTTTGTGCACAAATAATCCAAGCCATTCTATCCATAAAGACAAAAGCAAACACATTAAACGAACGCTATATCCTTCTGGAACTGCTCATTGTGTATATGTATAATGTGTATGAAGGTATCCCTCTGTGTATCACACGTGTATGCTTATTTTTAGTAAAAGGACAATACACTGCACACTGTTATCAGTAAGGCCATTGCGAAGAATTACATCAGTTGCTTCTCTGTTGCTGCGATAGCGTGTTCTAACAAAGGCCGTTTTGGGGAGAAAGGCTTCATTTATGGGCCACGATGGACAGAAAGCATGGTGGCAGGGTTGAGAGGCCACCTAATGGTCAGGAAGAGAACTGTCCTCGGTCATCCATGCACAGGAAGCAGAAAGAGAGGAAACAGGAAGTGGGGGCTGCTATAAAGCCTCAAACCCCACCCCCATGACATACTTCCTCCAGGAGGGCGCTACCTCCTGCGTTCCTGAACCTTCCAGTTGGGCACCAGGTGTTCAAACACATGAGCCTATGAGGGACATTTTTTTATTCAAGCTGCATGTGTCATCTGGTATATAAAACGAAATCCTATAAGACTTGATGGATCCAAGTATATGGACACAGTAGTAATTCTGAGAGGTGTCAACCAAAGGAAATGGCTCCTAATTATAAACTTTTATTTACGCAATGAATAGCTTGGTCTTTTCCAACTAGCTAGAACTTGTTTGAGTGTGAGACTAAACACTGTATGTTTAACACTGTATAATCTTTAGTGTTTGTTTTTTCGAGACAGAGTTTCTCTGTGGCTTTGGAAGCTGTCCTGCTCTTGTAGACCAGGCTGGCCTCGAACTCACAGAGATCCACCTGCCTCCGCCTCCCGAGTGCTGGGATTAATTAAGGGCATGAGCCACCACCACCTGGCAACACTGTGTAATCTTTTAATTATGTTTTAAGGTATATGATGAAGAAATTCACTATTGGATTAATAATAACCATTCACTTTCAAAAGCTAAAGTGAGTTAGCGCAGCCAGTTAGGGCGGTGGCTCTAGTCACAGACTGGGACTTACTGATTAGGTAGTGACTGGGTGTCCCAGAGAGGCTCCGTGAGGGAGGAAGGCCTGGTGGTCTCCAGGCTGAGAAGAATGATGGACGTGGCGTTAGCGTGTGAAGGAGGCCCCTTCTTCCTTACACATCACTGGGTCTGACAGTGATCCGCAGTAATGATAATTTCTAGTTATTCCACAGTAATGATGGCTATTCCTAATTACTTCCAGTTATCTTCGTGAACAAATCCTCTTACCATTGGCTTTGCTCCCCCAGGACTTCCTCGCGGGAGGGGGGGGGAGAGCAAAGACTGACATTGTCATCAGCTTCTTGTCTTGAACAGTTTGTGCCGCTAGAACAAAATGCTACAGGCGAGTCTGGGGATTCCGCGCAGTGAGAGCACGTGAGTCCAGCTGTACAAGGTCTTGGGTTGGATTCCCAGTACCACAAAAGAAACAAAACAAAAACAAACAAACAAAACGCTATAGGGAAATGAAACAGTAAGTTGGAAATACAAAGTCAGGTACCGGCGCGGCTGAGTTCTGCTAAGGTTCTCGTCTATGCTAATAAATGTAGGTTTTTTTTTTTTTTTTCTGTGCCTCACATGGTACAGAGGAGGGGGCAAGGTAGAGGGAAGAAAAGAGGGAGAGAAAGAGGGAGGTAGGGAGGCAGAGATAGTTGATAGATGGATAGACAGACAGTTATCTAAGATGTCTGCGGGTTAACAATTATGAGGTCGTTTCTTGCTTTTTGTTTGTGGTACCTGGAATTGAACCTATGACTTCATGCACGTTAGGCAACTGGTCTACCATGAAGCCATATTCTTGTCTTATTCTTCTTGATGTTAACATCCCTCAAATCTTGCCTTGGTTAACTGTCCTCTCAGAGGTGGCAAGGTGATAATTTATACATTTCTAACTCCTCCTAAGTCAGCTGCTAGCTCTCCTTCCGTCCCTCCCTCCGTCCCTCCCTCTGTCTCTCCCTCTCTCTCTCACTTGCTCTCTTGTTTTTCTTCAAGGATCCATAATTCAGAGCAAAGCTCTGAATGCATGAGTGTTTATACTTCTATAAAGACAGCTTCTTTTTCATTCTTATACGTCATTTTTTGTTTTTGTTGTCTGACTGTCCGGTTTGTTTGATGGTGTCCCCAGTTTTCCGAACGTGTGGCCCTTGTACTCCTGCGCCTTGGCTCTTGTCTAACACTTCATTGTCTTCAGCACACAGGCAGTTCTCCTGGGCTTACTTGAAATTGGGAGCCCACGCCTCCCAATTCCCTAGAGAGTTGAGGTTCTACTTGTCAAGGAATGGTGCTTGGAGGCCATACTTTATCCGGCAGGCATACTCACTTCCTACACATTTACCATACCACAGTAACAGTGCTAATTGCTCAGTGAGATTGTGTGGTTTCTTCTAGTTCATACAGCCATCATGTGGCAAGGCTAGGACCTGAACCCCCATTGCCACAGAGCTCTGCCTCTGTCAATCATCCTTTTTGCATGGCAGCCACAGTATCATCCTATGTGTGTGTGTGCGGGCGCGTGCGTGCGTGCATGCTTGTGTGTGTGTGTGTGTGTGTGTGTGTGCATGCGCGCGCGCGCGTGCGTGAGTGCTTGTGTGTGTGTGTGTGTGTGCATGCGCGCGCGTGTGCGTGCGTGCGTGCGTGCTTGTGTGTGTGTGTGTGTGTGTGTGTGTTGGTTGGGATTATTTTTTAGTGGAAGAACCATAATAGGCAGCACACAATCTCCTCAGTGCGTGTTAACGTTCACAAAGTGTCTCTGGACATTAGCAGGAAATGATGGAGAAAGCATGTCAAATATTACCTGAGATAGGAAAACAGAACCCAGTTCCCTTTCTTATATAAGTGTCTTGGGAACGGCTCTGGAAACTCATGCACTTTGGCTCCAGGTTTCTGCCAACCTCATAAAAATTGTAAAATAAAAATATGGGCAGTAAAAACCCTAAGGGCTTTAATCAAGTGCTCATTCATGGAACTGTTACTCTGATGATTTACTATCAAAACTACTGCCCAGTGCTTTTACCGACATGCTAACGTCCTCAGAAAGCCTCCAGCTGCGTTGCAGAGCTTGGGTTTTGAGGTAGGAAACTTTGTTCCATTAGGAAAATCCAGATGTATGGGACAGGCTGCACAGCTGGGGTGCCGTGTCTACAGAAATGTAGCTTTATTGCTTTGCTTAAAGAGCTTACTAAGAGCCAAGTGTGATGGTGCACACTTTTAATCTCAGCGTCCCGGAGGCAGAGGCAGGAGGATCTCTGCTAGTAAGTGGTCAGTCTGATCTCCATATTAAGAGTCCCTGTCTCCAAGGGAAAAGAATCCAGCTGATTTATCATGTGTGGCGAATATATTATTTGGGGAACCCTCGGCAGTTATTTTGTGTGTCTGTGTTCTGGGAATGGAAGCGGAGAGAACATGCCTGTTAAGCACATGTACCCCTCAGCTGCACCACTGTGTTTTAAAAACCGTCAAAGGTTGCTACTTTGTATTTTTGTTGTCTTAAAAAAAAATCCAACTTCGTTAAAAGCAGTCACTTTGACCAAACAAGCCATAACACCTTTCCTAGAGCCTAGATGTTAAATACACACATTGTACTTTAAATAGCCTCTTTTATTTAACACATCATATTTTCTTGATTAGAATGAAGAAGCTAGGGGACTGGTACTGTT